AGATTCTACATGGGGTTCACACACCTGAAAGGTGGGCCCTCTGGGCAGCTGCCTCGGATGTGCCAGTGGCACCTCTGTCCGTGTGCACAGGAGCTACACCTCCTGACCTGCTCCCAGGGGCTGGCTGTCCACACTGCTGGCCTGGGAAGGTGGGCGGGGCCAACCCACAGTCAGGGGTGCAGAGCTGGGACTCCTGGGAGTTCACTAGCTTGGCTGTTTGGGCAGCAGGGTGGACTCAGGCTGGCCAACCTGGCATGTACCCTGGATGCCCCAGGGGGCCAGGACCCAGGTTGGGTAGGAGGCTACAGGTCTGTGGAAAGCCAGTACTGTGCTGGCCCAGAAAAGGGAGGCAAGAGCCCAGGTATGCAGCTGCTAACTGAACCACCAGGTTCCGCCCTGGTACTGCCTGGCCCTGCCACAGGCCACCCTGCTGAGGATGGTGTCCAGCATGGCCCTCCATGGAGCTGGCCTCTTGGCCATGCAGCCCAGGGCAGGGAGGGACAGGACCTCCTGGCCATTCCGAAGCAGGTAACTTCCAGACTCTCCTGCTGTTGGTCTGCCGAGCGCCCATATCCTCCAACCTATATGCCCAGAACACTGCCGCTGACCCCGCCAGGTTCTGACTCACCAGGGCTGGGATGGGCCAGAGAACTCCCATTCCCGGCATCACCTATAGGGTGCAAATGCCGCTACCAGAGCCACCTGGCTATGGCACCTTCTGCCTGAGGTTTCCTCCTACTGCAGCTCTCAGGGCTGTTTGAGGCAGGTGGTGCTGGAGGCTGCCCTAGTCACCTCAGGACACCCCTCGCCACCCCCTCACCTGCCAGCCGTTCCACTCTGGGCTACAGCACCTTCACCGCCCACCACGGGGCCACCGCTTGCCTCATTTTCCTCAAGGACAGCAGCAGGTGCACTACGGGAGGGTCACAAGGACCAAAGCAGGTGCCGCATCATCAGTGATAAGGACCCACGAGTGATGTCATCGTAAGGAAATAAGCACAAACGTGTGTAGAGCCACTCCTCACTGACCTGTCTACGATGCCAGTGAAATCGGAAACAAACGTCTGACAGCAGGGACGTGGCACGCTCAACAATGACCTTGAAGGAACAGTCGTGTGGGACACAGATGCGACAGGAAGGTTTCAGGCCCTCCCTCGCCGCGGCTCAGCGTCATCCTGCCACTCGGGTTGCCGTCACCCGAGGACCCTCCCCCCCACTGCCTGGGCACAGCACCTCCTGACACCCAGCTGGGTTTAAGAGTTCTGCTGGGTGAATAAAATGAGGCCAGAGGGAGGAGCAGCAGCTAGTCCACAGGAGCCAATCTGGGCCAGACCCCGGTGGTTCCAGACTGGCTCAGGGACAGTGTTGCTCGGGCACCTTTCTTAGGGTGACGGAGGATTAGGAGGTCGGGGGGCTTGCGCTGGCCCATCCCACCACCCTGGAAACCTTTCCTCAGCAGAACTCTTCTTTCTGGCTGCTCTGGGCAGCTCATCGCCAGCGTCCCTCCACTCCCCACGTCTCGGCCACAGCTAGGAGTCACAAAGGACTCGTGCCTGCACCAGCAGGGGCCAGCTCTGAGACAGGCGCGGAAGACAGAGCCATGAGGGGCAGGTGGGCCGTAAACAACCGACAAACAGACTGCGCTGCCGCAGCCCACCGATGGGGAAGGAGAAACCGGAGCAGTGGTGGGGAGCCACAGGGGCATCTGCGCAGACCTTGACACCCCGCCACAGCCCGCCTGGGACACCGGGGTAGCACTGAAGGCTGTGGGGACACATCTGAGGAACAGCAAGAAGGGCCACTGGGCTGGGGCAAGGAAGCCCTGGAGGGGACGGCCCCGGCAAAGGTGTGGGAAGTGCAGACGCAGCTCTGGACGAAGAGTGCTGTGGCTACACTCGCTGCCGGCAGTCCTAGCTCCCGCTGTCCCCCGGTGGCCACGCTGAGGAAGGACAGCAGTCTCCACCTCCCGTGGCACTGTGCCCAGTGCACCATCTGGGCACAAGGCAGGCCCGGGCGGCCGCTGCCACCAGCCTGTGTCATCACGGAGTAGCCCTCAGCCTCTCCCATCTTGACTTAAATCAAAGGCCCGCTTCGCAACCAGCAGGTGAACAGACTCGGGTCCTCTTGGCCCTCAGCCATGGCCCGCTCCTGGCCACTGCCCACCGGGAGGCTGTGAGCCGAGAGGACGCAGGAATCGCTCCCTCAGGGCCGGGAAAGGCTTTCTGCCCGGCGGCTCCTGGTGGAGAGTTGCCATTTGCAGCTCCCCAGGCAGCAGCACCCAGACCTGAAGTCCAGGCACCCGGGTTTCTGCCCTGAGTGACAGCTGGCACCCAGGGAAGAGGTTCCCGAGCCGCCCCTCGCCTCCCCAGGGGACCCCGCTCAGACCCGGAGGGAGGAGGTGCGAGCGCCGGCGGCCCCGGGCACCGCGCGGCCACTGCCCCCTGACGGCCACGCCGCGAGGGCGCCAGAGAGCGTCGCCCCGGACGGGGGTGGCCCTCCCCTGCACCCCTGCTTCCTCCCTCCGTGCTTTTGCGAAGCCCTGCAGAGCCTCAGGGGCTCCCCACGCGCAGGCAGCAGAGCCCCGGCCCGGCGGGAAAGGAGCAGGCCGAGCCGGGCCGAACCACCCGCGCCTAAGCCGGAAGGTCAGGAAGGCACAGCCGGCTGGGCCGCCCACTCGCGACCGGGGCCGGGGTCGGCAGGCGCGGGCGTGGAGGTCCGCGCACGCGGCGGCGGGGACCCCAGCGACAGCCGCCCGGGTTGCCCGACGCCGCCACGGTGCGCGGAGGAGACTGACGCCGCCTTCCGCGCCGAGGCCCAGCGCCAGCCCCGCGGGGCCGCGACCCGCGCCCCCCGCTTCCCGCTGCCGCGTGCACGGGAGGGAGCGCGCCCCCGCTCGCCGGCGCCGCGCCTACCGGTCCTCGCTCGCGGCCTCGCTCTCCTCGGCCGGCCGGGGGGGCGGCGGGGCCGGCGGGGCGGCGTCCGCGGGGGCCGGGGGCGCAGCCATGGAGCTCGCGGGCCTCGGGAGCCGCCGGGAGCGGGGCCTGACCGCGCGGACTACGAGCCCCACAAGGCCGCGCGCCTTCCGGGAACCGCCGGGAGCGGGCCCCGGCCGCGCGGACTACGAGCCCCACAAGGCCGCGCGCCGGGACGGGAGCCGCCGGGAGCGGGGCCTGACCGCGCGGACTACGAGCCCCACAAGGCCGCGCGCCTTCCGGGAGCCGCCGGGAGCGGGCCCCGACCGCGCGGACTACGAGCCCCACAAGGCCGCGCGCCTTCCAGGAACCGCCGGGAGCGGGGCCCGACCGCGCGGACTACGAGCCCCACAAGGCCGCGCGCCGGCCCCGCGCCCTCAGAACCCACCGCGTTTTGCCACAAACTCAGCCGCACAAAAGCCCTGGAAAAAAAATCAATAAACATTTATTCGATACAGTCATCTTTAATACATACAGTGATGGCCCGCCCCGCGCCACTCGGGCCGGGGCGGGGCGAGGACGAGGACCAGGGACAGATGGTCACAGGGCAGGTGGCCGGAGCTCACCGTCAAAACATCTTGCAAATAAACACTTTGTAGATAGAATATATATGTATATATATGGTTACAAGTGATAGCTGGAGCCTCTCGAAATGCACTTATGTACTGAGAACTGGCGATAAAAACCCAAACCAAGGAACCCCAAGTATAGGACGCGTGGCCACCAGGCAGGGGGTGTGACCTGCTGGTCCTCCCAGCCCCAGCCCCAGGGAAAGCGGCCGGGGGCCCCAGCAGGGCACGGGGACAGCCCGCCCCTCCCGGTCAGGGCGCCCCAACGGCACGCAGGGAGCTCCCTCAACTGCCTTTGCCGCAAATAAAGTGCATCCTATCTTTGTGTGAAGTGTCAGCCCCTCGAGTCAGCCCGTCGGGCACTCTCCTGTTCTTTGGGGTGGGGAGTTGCGCTAAACCAGAGGTAGATCCGCAGAGAGGGCTCCAGACCCGGCTGCGGGCAGGGCCCAGGCCCACCACACCCTGGGGTCTACCATGCTGGTCCCCCTCACAGAGGCATCCAGGGTGCTCACCTGGCCACAGGTGGGCCAGAGTAGGAGGTGGGCAGGTCCTTTGGAGCCCCACCGGAGCCCCTACCCCCTTGGGAGGAGGGCCCTGCAGACCAGCTTGCCAGCACCTGGGGAAGAGGGGGGTGGGGGTGCTCAGACCCAGTGGCCACATTTGGCAGAGCGCCCACACCTACTTTACAAAGAAGGGGGTTAAAGTGCTAAACATCAAGTCATCCAGGGCCCCCTTCCCACAGGACTACCACCTGTGGGCTTTCGGGGTGTCCTGGAAACTCATCCCCCAGCAAAGACCAGACCCCCTCCTCCTCTCCCCAAGGGCCAAGTACCTGAGAGGCTGGGGTGGGCAGCCACACCCTGCAGAGGTGTTGGGGTCCAACCTGCCCCACCATTGGTGACAAGGACAAAGTGCACCTAAGCTCCAGCCCGGAGGCGCCTGCTCCCCCGCCACTCGCCACTCGTGAGGCTACCCCTGCAGAGCTGCCTGGCCCCACCTCCCCCCACCACCAGCTGCACTCCCCAGGGAAGCTCTGGAACACAGGAAGGGAAGCCCTCCTTCCCCAAACCCTACCCACTCTTTGACCTTTGCCGCTGGACCACCCCCGCCTGTCCAAGCCCCCATCCTCTGACAAGGTCAAGGTTTGTGAGAGTGAGGGAAGTCCCCACATCCCCTCCCTAGCACACCACGCCAGGGCTGCCCGGGGTCAGAGCCTTCTGGCTGAAGGAAAAAGCCAGAGACAGAGCACAGCGACCCCAGCCCCAAAGCTCCCCTGGAACTTGTCTCCCTACTGGAACCCCCTGGTGAGAACTGGGGGGCAGAGAGGGTGCCCCGTCAGCACTGCCTGTCTGAGCAGCACAGGCCCCACCCCAGAGGCACGCACCCCGCCCAGCCCAGCCCCCAGCCCCGCCGTGGGCACCAGGAAACCCTTAGCACCAAAATGTCAGATTGTTGTGAGTTTTTGTATAAAAAACAGAATTTAAAAAAAGGTTGTTACTTGTCACAGCAACAAGACTGGCATCCACTACACCCAGGAGACACACGCACACGGGCAAATATCAAAATTCACATCATCCAGGATCAGCAAGGATGAGCCCTCAGCCCACCCCCTGGAAAACGGCCTCCGTCCAAGCCCACCCCTCCCCACAACGCTGCAGTTGGAAGGTGGAGGCCCAGGAGGAAGCCAGAGGCTGTGTGGTCACCTCCTCCAGGCTCCCTGGACTCCCTGACCACCCAATGCCCAACCTGCAGACCCCACCAAACTGGGGGCCCCACAAGGAGCAAAGACAGCCCTGGAGTGCCACCAACCTACTGTGACCTTGGCCAAGGGCCCTCCCCTGGCTGGCTCCTGCACCAAATGAAACACAACCAGAAATGAAGGAGCAGGTAGAAATGGGGGGGAAGGGGTTCCCACGGGAATGTGGCCATGGGGCCAACCCACATTGGCAGAAGGAAGGCTGCCTTCCCCCAGTGGCCACTCAGAGCCAGGCTGCTTGTACTCAGTGTCCTCCCCACGGGCCCCAGAACCCAGACTAGTCCGTCTGCACCATCAGGCTGCCCCGGCCCAGGTCACCCACGTCCAGAAGCTGAAGGTGGGAGGCAGAGCACACAAAGGGGGCCCCTCGCCCCCAGGGCTGGCAGCCGTGTCCAGGAGCCTCACGCCGCTGCTCCTGCCACTCTGCAGGTGGGAGAAGCAGCATCCCTCCCCTGCCCCGAGCAGGGAACACTGCAGACACAGGCCTGAGGGGCTGGGCACGGCAGAGCAGGGTGACACGACAGATGAAGGGTGGGGCAGGGCACAGGCCTGGAGAGGTAGAAAACAGAAGCAGAGGAACCAGAGGTGGTGGACCAGGGAGGGCAGGCGCCTGTCAGGTCAGCACGGCCGTGGCTGGGTGGGGGTCTGTCCTGGGAGGTAGCTGGGTACCAGATTCCAGTGTTGGGTGGAGGCGAGGCCCAGAGGGTGGCTGCCAGGGCTGTGCAGGTGCCCTCACCAGCCCAGAGCCAGGAGTCACCAGGGACGCCAAGGTGGGATCCAGCAGGGCCTGAGGAAGCAGACACGGGGGCCTGAAGGCCACGTGCCTGCTCCACGCCGTGGCCCTGACGTGTTCTCCCAGGGAGGGCTGACCTTCCGGCTATTGCACTTCTGCTCCGGCCCCGGGGGTCCCAACCCAGGTGTGCCCTGAGCAGGGTGAGGGCCACCTGCAGGGAGGGGAGAGTGGCTGGCCGCCCCACTGGACGGATGAGAGGGCAGGGTAGGGATGGAGAACTGGAGGACAGCAGGTCCTGGAGCCAGCTGCCCCCACCCTGGGCAGAGTGGGGCATGGCGGCCGGGCGGAGGCCGGGCCCCACCCGCCAAGCTCACTTTTCAGGTGCTTTGCCAGCTCCCCCCTTCCGGCCAGCAGCGCCCCGGGCCCCCTTGTCTCTGCATCCCAGGGGCCAGTCGTCCCGGCGGGGGGGCAGCTTGGGCACCGGCTCCTCTGGGGGCCGCTCCTTGGGCTTGCGGCCCCGCTTCTTGCCGCCCGCCAGGTTCTTCTTCTTCTCCTTCTTGGGCACCACCGAGTCCTGGCTCCTGTGTTTGGGAGGTGGGTCTGCTGAGGTACGGAACCAGTTCTGGGGAGAGAAAAGCGGCGATGAAGACCTGGGCACAGGAAGATACCGAGCACCTGAGCCAGGTGTGACCCCAAAGCTGCAGACCCAGCCGCCTCCGGAGCCAGTCAGGCCACTGCAACGAGGTGACGGAGGGGCTGGCACCCACCAGAGGGGGGGCACCTGTTTGGGGTGCCTGGTGGGGTGCGGCCAAGCCTCTCAGCTCCCCAGGACAGCAAGACGCCACTTAGAGGAGAGACCACCGGATTTCCCAACACCAGTCATTTGCTCAGACACGCACCATGCAGGCCACAGAGCTCTCCACCACCCCGACCCTCGCCCAAGGCCCTCCTGGGGTAGCCCCTCTGGCCGCCGGGCCCGCAATGGCTCTCACACCTCCGCGTGGGTCTTGAGGATGTGGTATTTGACGCCACTCTCGGAGCTGAACTCCTTCGGGCATAGCAGGCAGCGGTACTTCCCCACCAGGTGGTCCCCCTGCAACACACCGGGCAGTCCAGGCCCCGAAGCTTAGCTCCGCCCCAACTCTTGGAGGCCCCAAATCACCCAGATCTGTCCTAAGCCCTTACCCTGCAGCTAAAGGGACAGGTGCCGAGGAGGCCAGCGCCAAGCCACCCTGCCGCAGCAGGCGGGAGGTGAGGAGAGGGTTTAAGAGGCGAGTGCCCAGGCGAAGGCTTGTGGACCTTGCCAAGGGTCCTTTATCCCAAGCCGGTGCGTACCCTCTGCCCTGGGCAGGGTGACCACCCACACCCACACAGACCAGGGCCCTGAGGGCAGGACTTGGGACCCACTGACTTGTGGCAGGGGGACAAAGAGGTATCCTAGGCTGGCCACCAACCACTGGCCAGTCCATGGGCTCGTGGAATAGGCAGCTCTACGGGGGACGGAGTAGGGCCTCCTGCTAATGTGGAGACCCCCGGCGGGGTTAGCTGGGAGCACCGAGCACCGAGTACCTTGCCCGGCTCGGGGGCCCCAGAGCTGACCTTGCTGCAGCTGGCGAGATGGGCCTTGAGTCCGGACACGCTGGAGTAGATGGCTTCACAGCACTGCGGGGGAGGTGGCCGCGGGTGAGGGTCCGCCAGGTGGGCACCCCACAGAGACAGACCCCTGTTCTAGCCTGGGGGAGCTCTGAGGCCTCTTTGGGGCAGTGGGGGGACCTGACTCCCGAAGTCCTGGGAGTGGGCAGGCTGGGCACACAGGGCCTGAAGTCAAGGTCCCCTCTGCTGACGAGGGCCCCTCTGAGGACCCCGTGAGGGCCCGTGGTGGAAGTGGCTGGTCACCTCCCACAGGTCTCTATCTCAGCCCCTGCTCCTGCCCAGGGGCCATCCCAGGCTGTCCCCGAGCTGTGTCCCCACGCCCCCGTGTGCCCCAGCTCACGTTGTTGGGGCAGTTGACGTGGCCCTTCTCCTTCACCTCGCTCTTCCACGCCTCCAGCAGCTGGGGGTTCAGCGTGGGGAGCCCCGGCCGCGTGTAGTTGAGCTGTGGAGTCAGGCGCAGCAGCAGGGTGAGCCTGAGGCCCAGAGGACACCCCGGCTGCTCTAAGAATGCCGCGGCTCAGCAGCAGCTGGCCCAGGTCACAGCCGACTCTGGGACGAGGCGCGTCCTGACCAGGGGGCTGTGGGCTCGGAAGAGCGAACGGCAGGACTGTGGCCCACTGCCCCCAGCCGGCGCTTGGGCAGGCGGCTCACCCTGGCGGTCTCGGGCACGAGGTCGTCCTTCATGCGCCGCTTGGTCCAGTCTCGGGCCAGCTCGTCCTCTGCGATCTCCTGCAGGTGGAACACGGCGACCTGGGCCGACGTGCGGCGGATGCGACCACTCGGGGTCCGCTCCACACCCAGCAGATCCTCCGCCTCGGGGGGCTTGTTTGTGGGCTCCTCGGGGGGCTGGAGGGCACAGATGCCAGAGTGAGCCACGGGCAAAGACCGGGAGAGACAGGGCTGGCGTGGTGTGCGGGGGGCCCCCTGAAGGTACGCCCAGGAGACGTACGAGTAAGTGGGGGGCGCGGGTGACACAGGCAGCCCGAGGGAACACAGAGGCACCAGGGTTCCAGGCTCCCGCCCTCCCACCCCCGGGACACGTCTGCTGCAGGGAGGGACGGAGAACATATGTATCAGCAGCACATGCACACACACACTCAGCATCCAAGGGACATGGGAACACACGTGGCACACAGGAAAGAACACTGAGTCACAGCACGGGACGCGGGTCACTGTGGCCGCTCACCGGAGCTGTGTGCTCCGAGCGCATGTGGTAGTCGTGGCCGGCCTTGGAGCGGTACGTCTTGCCGCAGTGGGCGCAGGGGAAGGAGGGGCTGTCCAGCTCGCAGGGCGGCTTCCCGCAGCGCCGCTGGTGGTACTGGTAGCCCATGAGGCTGGAGAAGGCGGCCCCGCAGCCCTGGGGGTCCAGGGGCCAGAGGTCAGGCAGGTGGCCAGCGCGTGCCAGCCCCGTGGCCCGCCGTGTGCCCCTCCACTGACCTCCTGGGGGCAGCGCAGCCGTCCCATCTGCTTCAGCACCTTGCGCAGCCGCTCTCGCTCCTCCTGCTCACCCCCCTCGGAGGCCTCGGCGTCGGAGGGCTGGGGACCGGGCGAGCCTCAGTACCCTCCACCACGGGCCCTGCCCTGCCCGGCGGGGGGCCGCAGTCATCGGAGGTTGGGTGTGGGAGGGGAGGGGCTGCAGTGGGAGTGGGGTGAGGGTCGGAGGTCGGGCGGGAGGGGGCTGGGAGCCAGGCGGCGTACCTTGGCGCTGTGCTCGGCCATGGTGTGGTAGTTGAGACCCGCTTTGGACTTGAACTGCTTCCGGCAGTGCTGGCACTTGAGCGCGTCCTGCAGCTGCGGACGCGGCCCGACCCGTGAGGAGCGGGGCCTGGGGACCTGGGGGTCCCCCTCCCGGCCCCTCCGAGGCAGCCTTACCTTCTGACACACCTCCATGTGCTTCTTCAGTCCCACGAGGGTCTTCCGGGTGACCACGCTGCACGTGGGGCACACGGCCTCCCCTCGCTCGTGGATGGCCCGCTGCCACTGCTCCTCAGGGCCACCTGCGGGGCGGGGCCAGGCCTCAGGGGCTGGGGTGCTCCCGGACGCCCTGCATGCCAAGTGCAGAGTCCAGGGTCCACACTCATCCCCCGTCCCTCCGCCACGGGCCAGGCATCCCCTACCTGGGGCTGGGTGGGCCGTGGGGGCTGGTGGCTCCTTGCTGACAGTGATGGGGGCTGGAACTTTCTTCCGCGTGTCCTCAGGGCTGAGCCCCTCCTGCTTCTTGGAGCGGTGGACTCGGGCCTTGTCCTCGGCTTTGACCAGGCCTGTGCGCACACGGGCAGGGGGTGGTCTGAGGAAGCTGGCACATGTGTGGACACACCCAACCCTGGAGATGCCCACGGGGTCTTACCTTTGAGCCCAAAAGTCCCTGAAATGGATGGCTGCTCCCCTGTAAACTTCTTGGGTGTTTTCTGTTTCCTTCCTGACTCGGGGAGAAAAAGAGGGGCCGAGATTCTGGTCAAATAACCATCCGGAGGCTGGGGCCTGGCCTGGCCGCTGCCCCCAGGGCCCTCTTACTGTGCCTTGTGCGCTCCGGGTCCTCCTCCGGCAGGGACGCGGAGCCTGCCGCCCGCAGTATCTCCTTGCCCCCTGAGGGCCTGCTGCCCAGCAACGAGGAGCCGCTGCTGGAGTCTGCGCTCAGCTGGAAGGCCGAGCTCTGGCCCATGGTGGACGGGCCATACTCCCCGTTCTCTGGCCTTGCCAGCTTGGGTGGGATGGGGCAGGTGTCCAGGTTGTCCGCAGCCCTGCAGGGAGCAGGTGACGTGAGGGCCTGACTCTGGGCCCCGTTACCCCAAGCCACGGCCAAGGAGCACCTCAACCTGGAATGAGCTCTCGTACCTTTTCTTACCACTGTTCCTCCCTGTGGTCCGAGGTGCTTTGTTTTCAGACCTGGTCAGCAGCACCATTTTGCACGGTGGTGTGTGTCTGCTGATGGCAATTGGCCTGCTGACTGTCACTGGCTTGGTGACCACAATGGGCCTGCTGACCGTCACTGGCTTGGTGACCGGCACAGGTTTCGTGACTGTCACAAGTTTTGTGACCGGAATGGATTTGGTGACTGGCACGGACTTGGTGACCGGCACGGGTTTGGTGACCGGCACAGACTTGGTGACTGGTATGGGCTTGGTGACTGGTACGGGTTTGGTGACTGGTACGGGTTTGGTGACTGGCACGGGCCTAGTGACTGGCATGGCCTTGGTGACCGGGATGGGCCTGCTGACTGTGACGGGCTTGGTGACTGGTACAGGCCTGCTGGCCGTGACGGGCTTGCTGATGCCGATGGGTTTGCTGACACCCACGGGTTTGCCAATGGTGACGGGCTTGCTCACGCCAATGGGCTTGCTGACCCCAACAGGCCGGCTGACGGTGACCGGCCGGCTGACTGGCCCAGGTTTGGGGGCAGGCAGGGGTCGGTCCATGTGGTTCCAAATCCGGTGCTTCTCCAGCTGGGTCTTGGAGGTGAACGCGGCCTCGCAGAAGGGGCAGGGGAAGGCCAGCCTGTCTGAGATGGCGCCCTGGGCAGGGAGGGCAGGTGTGGGCCGGGGCCCCGAGGGCCTCTGCCCAGACACACACCCTGGCCTCTTGCTCCCCAATCCCCAGTCCCTTACCCCTTGGCACCGCTGGTAATGGTACTTGAGCCCATAGATGCTGGGGAACTCCAGCCAGCACCCTGAGTTTGGACACTTCACTCTCGAGTGTGCCTTGAATTCATCTTTCCACTGGTTCATCAGGGAGAGCTGGGTGAGGAAAGGCCAAGCTGCTGACCCTGAGGGCTCAGCCCACCCACGCCCCAGACTCCAAGCCCTCCCTGGGCCTGCAGGGCACACCCCACACGAGCCGCTCGACCTCGGGAATGCAGCCAGAATTCAAGCCACCTACGCAGTGGCTGCGCACCAGACCTGTTCTACGAGCCCCCCAACACGATCCACTAGAACCTCACGGCACGTCAGCCGCGTGAAGCCTGCCAGGCCAGTGCCCACACCCGGAGGCATGGAGTTGGTGTCTTATGTGCGGAGGGCAAATGAGGGCAGGGCAGTGGCCCGGACAGGAGGCCTCAGTACACCTCCCCCAGCCCTCAGGGAGCTCACAGGAATGTCTCGGAGAGCCTGATTCTCAGCTTTTGGACGCCCCTTTTTCTTCCCTTCCATCTTGTCGCTGGCTGGACTCGTGTGGTCGAAGCAGAGCGGAGCTTGGCCAGGCACTGTCTGTCCACTGCGGACCACTGGAATCCCTGCAGCACACAACACACCCCCGCTCGGAGGCTTGCCTGCCACCGGGGGCTGCTGGGGTCCAGAGTGCACCTCGTTTTCCCAACACCAAGTTGCAGTGGGGAGAGCATGGCCAGCCTAGGACGAGAACCCTAGGCCCCGGGCTATGTCCAAGACGGACCCCACCCCAGGAAGGTCCTCAGGAACTCAAGTGCCTGGCTGGGTGTCCAGGGACTGGATGCCCGGGAAGGTGGCCCACTCCTACCGCTTGCTGCCCATGATCATCTACAACTTGTTTTAGCTCTGACTCCTCTTACCCAGCTTCGGTGGGTCATGCAGCATAGGAAGTCGGACTTCCTTCCGGCCACCATCCTTCCCGGGTCCACTCCTGTTGGACCCCTGGAGCCGACGGCCACCTCCAATGCAGAAGGGGTCCGTCATCTCTTCAGAATGAGCGGACAGACCTGTAAGGCCCAACAGACCTGACTCAGGACATGTGGTGGAGCTGCCCTGGATCCCACCCCCCGGGACAGGCCCTCTCTTTGGCCAGGGAAGGGGAGGCTGCCCTCCTGTGTTTCTGGTCACACAGGAAGGAAAGGGATAGGGGCTTGCGGTTTAGGGAAGGAGCTGCCCAGCCAAGTCTCCCAGATAACCCAAGAGGCATGACAAGTTTGGAAGCACTCAGTCCTGTCCTGAGACCCTCGACAGCTTCGGCAGACTTTCTCTGTCCCAAACATACAGTCCCAAAGTGTGCCGAGGATTACGCACCCCACTCCCCGTGCTGGGCGGGGGGTGTCCCCAGGAGAGGTGACTTGTGCAGGAGGAAGGAGGCTGACAACATCCCTCTGGGGGCCAATTATGAGACCAGTGATGGCTGAGGGCTCACAGGCTGCTCCTGCACTGGGGGACACCTTCTCCCACACGACCCTCAGCTCTTCCCACCCAGACCTGATGCAATGCCAACCTGCCTGGGTGGGCATCCCTGGATTCTTCTGCCCAGACACAGAGGGAATACAGCCAGGGAGGGGCCCCAGCCCACTACCCAATGGGCAGACTGACGACCCCATCACACCCAGTTCTGGTCCCTGTGGCAGCTGAATCTGCCCACCTGACCTGGTCTCCAGCAAGGACCCCTTTATCACCACGGAGACCTCTTGCTTAGCCCCTCGGCTACCCCTGGCTGGCTGATCTCCCCCCACCTCCACTCTCAAGAGCCTCTCCGTCCCCTGCCTGTAGACCCACCGGCCCACTACCGCAGACAAGCCATGGTGAGCACGGGCAGGGAAGGCCCAGCTCCAGAGTCCCCCAGGCCGCTGGCCAGAGAGAACACCCTGCCGCCCAAGGCTGGGTCTCCGTGGCCCGCTCTGCTGGAGAGGACACCCCCTGAGAACTGGGAAGCAGAGGGACTCCAAGCTTAGCCCTGCCGGACCCTCCCACAGCAGTACCCCAAGCCACAGAGGGGGTGGTCCCAGGAAGTAGCGTAAGGGTCATGTGAGCAGACGACCCCTTCCTGGTCGTTTCCAATTAACTTAGATCAGAGGACAGGGGAAGGGGCTGCTGAGTCCAGGAGGCCAGAGGACCAAGGTCGGAGATCAGGACAGTCATTGCCCACTGCGGAGTGGGATGCCAGGTCCTGGGCCTGGGGGCAGGAAGGGGCTAGGACACAAAGTTCTCTGGAAGTCCTCACTCTGCAAGTTTGAAACGAGACTCCGACGGCCCCTGCGGCCTGCGGGGCAGGTGCCCGCCGAGCGCCCCCCTCCACTTTCCGGGAAGCCCGGCACAGAATTCAGAGTAGGGGTCCGAGGCCGGGGTTGGCCTGGGAGGCAGGGACCCTCCTTGCAACCCGGCCAGGCACTCGCGCACGAGGCCGAGGAGAGGCGTCCCCCGCCCGGGGACGCGGAGGGTCGCCAACCCTCGGGGGAGGAGCCCGCGCTGACCGCGGAGAGGCCGGCGGCCAGGCCGCCGCGAAGGCCGCTCCGCCGGGGACCCGGGCCCAGGCCCCGCGCGCGGACGAGGCGGCCCGGCCCCGCCACCCACCTGTCACCTGCGGCCGGTGCAGGCGCGGGCCGCGGCCTGGCCCCGGAAGGGCCGCCGGCGGGGGGGCGCAGCGGTGAACCAAAATGGCGACTTTTTCTGGAGAAGGAGGAGGCGGGAAGGCGGCGTCGGCGCGGGGCGCGGCGCGGGGTCCGG